TTGTCACTGTCATGATATTACTCTATTGGTCATTTCGAAGAGAAGTAACCTTCTGGCTCGAAGATGTACCAACTAAATAGAGCGGTCTAAAACAAGTTCAGTTAAAATTTGAGGATGTTCTGCAATCCCATGAAGAATATGCACCCAAACCTGATGTATTGTAATAGGAAGTGTAAAATTATGAATGGTATATAGATCCATGGTGTGCGAGTTGGGATTATGTGAATGGAGTATATCGATATATCGTATAAATCGTGCTGATTTACTGATGGGAGCTTTTTCATGATTGCACTGTTTATCGTATTGATTTGGATTTGTTGTAAGCACGAAGCAATAATTGCTCAGTCTCATTTACATCCAATTGAAATACTTCTTGTTCCTCAAAAAAGCAACTGTAAGCATGTGCAGAGGGCTGTGGCACATTGTCTTAATCAATGTGCCGAGTGTGTGTATGTGATGGTTCACTACTTTTTTTCACTGACCTAAACTAATGGATCGCTAAATATTATTAGAGACTGATTTACGATGGAAGTCGATATTACAGAATTACTGGTGATACGGGAATTTAATCGCTCACAATTTCTGGTATTCAGATGTCGTTGCTAGTCGTTGACATCAGGATTTTCTAGGTAATAGATCACTACCACATGAAATCACTTGTGATTTCAGGTTGCTGTGGACGATGCGAAAATGAGACCATCTGAAGACGTGCTAAGTAGTTTTTACGACTTGGCCGATTTGGACGCCAATAAGCGTTACAGTGCCGTGATAAAGATCGTTGAGGCCGTATGTTACAATTCTTTCCTGTTTAACTTCTTGCTTAAGCTTACTGTTAATTCGAACGCATGCGAGGTATTCCCACCAAAAAGTTTCACCATAATTTCCGAAAAATCGTTTAATTTTTGCCCTCTATTCTTAACTGTATCTGTTCGTCTCAATTCCCTATTTTCAAGTCAGTTATAGTGACTTCAAGTGAAATATGAGATGTTGTTTTCAGTGTAAAAGCAATGGTGATTATTGTATGGAAAGGCTTATTGGGGGATTAGCATCTCCCAGGGCTGCGGCACGACTTGGCTACACCACCGCACTTGTGCACACCTTAACAAAGTTCTCGGATGATTGGCCAGCGAAATCTTTGTTCGATTTGGCTGAGAGCAAACTTGATATTTCGAAAGTGGTAGATTTTTGTTGAAATACTCTTCGATTTCTTTAGCATTTTACATTTGGAATGAGCATTTCTGTTCTTTTATTATTGTTCTTTGGCCTCAGAATCCGCCATGTTGTTGTATCCAAAATGTTTTGCGATTTTTTCAAACAAAATCACTTTATTTCGCTGTGTTTTTGGTGTTGATTGACAGATAAAGGAAGGTGATAAATGAATTGAAATTTACCATCTCTACAGGAGGGATCATCTCCTGCAGCCCTTGGTCGACATTTATTGTATTCAGCCATGATTACTTCGCAATGTTACGCTGAGGTGAGTGTTTCTGCACAGTAATTCAGAATTCTTGATTGATATTGCAATCTATATATCTTGTAACATAATGGCAAAAGTAGTAGAGTTCCTAAAGATGAACTTAATCTATTGCCAAACTTTTGTGAAGTATGAATTCACAATCCNTTTTTTTTAGGTTTGCGTTGAGTTATTCGAGCGAGAATTAGCCATTTTTGATAAGTATCACTATTTTGGAATGGCAATCGCTCAGTCGTTAGCTGGTTTATCGAGGCAGTTAGATGAAAAGACATTTATGAAGAAGATTGTACCGTTGATAAAGGGTCGGGTGTGTGTGGAGTGTGATTCCTTCATGTCTGAATGGCTATTATTCATACTTCTCATACGGGACAAATTCAAAGTAATTCTCTTTCATTTGTACAAGTTCTTCAGAATTCAACTGACTTCTTTTTTGAAATTTCAGATTGTATCGTTTGTTTTTATTGTCTTACCAATGTAAGAAATCTGCTCATAAACCGACTCAGATCAATATTACAATTGATTTTATCTCATTTCCAGGACGCCTTGAAACGTAACGTGAAATTTTTCCGCAGTGATGGCAAACTTTCGATAGAAAAGCAAAATTACGAGGACTTCGTTAACATCTTAAAGGTTTCGCTCATTACTCCGCTTATTTGGATTGGGATTGTTTCAGATTTATTCATTTCCAGCACATTTCAGCTCAAATCATCGGTAACAAATAAATGAGTTGATCTCGTTTTAGGGTTACTATTTGCTTTTTTGGTCTCACACATACGAAAGGAAACAGTTCAAAACTACAATAATTAAGTATGCGAATACAACTAGTTTTCTGTTACGTGATGAATTTATCGCATGAGTTATTCCTGATGATATTGATTATCTGATCTCATTTTAAAATGGAACTAAATGCGAGGTCAGAGAACCGATTGATTGTTCATCAGTTTTTTGCAATTACAGCGGACAGAGGGTTGCGCAGAGAACACTTTAGCCAGAGAATTATTATCGGCTGCACGAGATTCGGGTATATTTGATGCGGTTTACACTGATATTGTTGAGAAGTGGTTAATGAATGGCGATATGTACAAGGTATTTTTCACTGCTCGTTACATTCGATCAAATTGTCATGCATTCTTGTGAAGTGAATTGCTAATCGCTGAAGTTCCCTCTGTGTTATGGAATACGTTGAAAGATTCCTATTCATTAACAATATGTTCATTGAATATTTTTTGTAAATATTTTGGAAGACAACAGTCTAGCGGGCGATTATCCAAAATTTAGCAACATCATTTTAGTCAATCCATTTTCCCGGTTGTTGATATGAATAAAGTGTTTACGAATTATGAAAGTAGACTAAATGAACTATTAAAATATGTGGAGTGCTCAAAATGGCTAAAGCTTAACTGCAAAATATCATTGCAGGTCTTTCAGCGTTGTTTCGGGTTTGTTGATGAATTGCTCTCAGAAGACAGCACTCTCAAACCAAATGAGGTAACCTTCCGTTCGCTGCTGTTTTCGGGTGTTGAGTGAATTTGCGTAGTTCATATATCTATTTTCTATACGTTCTCTTCCCGAATGCAAATTCCTTTTCCTTCAATTTTTCAATGAATTTATCCATCTCAAATAATTTTCCATTTCCTCTTTTTTTGAATTTCAGTTCGTTGTGATATTCTCGAGCAATTTGATCGCACAATTTCGATCGGTCAGGAAGTCTCGTGAATATCGATTCTATGCACAAATTGTTGAAGCGATTTTAGAGAAACTTGCGAAGGTTATCCATCCCATCAGAGATTTAAATTTTTTAAACCATAGGCTGATGAACTCACGTGATTGATTCCGATTTGACAGTAATTCTTCATTCTCTAATGTGCATTCCTTCTCTTTCGATGAAGCCTGCTTCATTCGATATGCTCATCACAAAAACGATTGAAACTACTTTGATTATACTTCTGAATTTTTGATTCCCTGAATTTATCGCAAAATTTTCTTTCATCTATGAACCTTTTAGTCTATTGGGATTTTCTCTAGTTCTCATCATTTTTTGCCAGAATAGCAGATTCATTGTGCTCAGTTGATTTCAGTCTCTGTCATCCGGTCAGTGGAAGCGAAGTGAATTAATTTCTCTTCTCAACACGATCGATTCAACTGATGGAGGAAATTTTGACGAATGTTTTCATGCAAAATCACGAATAACTGAAAAACTCATCACGCAATTAGATGCGAAAGGTGTTGAGATAGTTGTTGATAAGGTGAGTTGCGAAATATGATCATAAATCGGAATTTTGTGGTTGGTTCGAATTACTTTCGAAAAAATAAATTTGAAATTTGATGGAACTGTGAAAATTGTTGGCTAGATTCACAAAAAAAGAGATTGACTTAATAAAGTGCCGGCTTGTTGAGCTAGGTAACTGTTATGTATTAGGCTGATTGATTTATCGCTTTAAGGCATTAAATCATGGCGGTTGGTACGTTAGGCGTGTTGCTGGTGTATTCGGTCAATGGCCAGATGATATTAAAGAGAAAGTATTGGTCAAATTGGCGAAGCATGAGACTCGTTCAGAAGAGGTCAGCATTTAATTTCATTTTTCTTATCACCCTTTATTGTCTCATTCGTCAAAAACAAATCNTCGTCCGAGATTGAATCGAGTTTAGGTTCATATCTATACATTTTTTAACTTTCACATTCGAATATAATCTTTTGCAGTTATCATCGTTTCTCGGAGTCAATGTTGAATGTTCATTTTTCCGTGACTCTTCCTCGTTAGAAATTTTACTTGAAAATGAGTGAATGAATCATTTTTTCATTCATGTACGTGTGATATTTCGAAATTAATGCACAACTTTGCACGAGGAATTCAACTGTTAAGGTTCATACAACGCTATGCAAATGCATCGATTCGATGTTCTCGATAAACGTCCGTGCGGGTCGTAGTGTAAAAATGGCGTTTAGTGAAGAGGATGAAAAATTATTGAGAGATTTGTTGAGTGCCATTTGTGTGAAGAAGATCAAAATGCCGAAATCTGAAAATCGGTTCGTTTGTTTGTTTCAGTTCGTTTATAATCATTATTGTTGTCATCTAATTAACACCTTGATATCCTCCATTAATCAAAAATTTGTTAAGTTAAAATTGATCAATCAGGCTGCAATTTAGAGCTTTATACGATTCTTGGAACAGGCCAGAATTTTGCTCTGTGAGAGAATTCCCGTTTGAGGTTACATGGTTCTGCATCAAATTTGCTTGATCTCAAATCTGTTAGATTTCGGAGTCACAAAATATCTGTTATTGATGAG